TCGTCTGACTGTAATGCAGGAAGACTGACTTTGTCCCCGAAGGTACCGTTGCGAATCTGACTGTCCAGCTTTACTTAGCGTGGAAAAGGTTAATTGTCAGGGATATAAAAATAATCCACTTGAAATGCTTTCGAAGTTTGGATGTCCAATTCCCGATAAAAAGAATCTGAAATTCCCATATCTATAAATTGGTTTAGGGAGTAAATACACGTCCATTTGAGGCTTTTATCATAAAGGCAAATTCCTTTCGCACAAACGTTCATAAAGTGCGTGGGTAAAATTATATCGTACTAATAACTGTTTATATTAAGAGACGGACATGCTTTACACATTTGTATCAACATGGTATAAATATTGATTCATACAAGAAGTCCTTGAGGACCGATAACTTGTCAAAATTTTACTGTGGTCTTATTAAGAAGGTATAATGTGTTTCCTACCACCTTCAGCTTTTAAATTTTGATATCGTTAGCGTCAAAGTGCAAAGACATATCATCTTCCTTCGTGAAGAAAAATAAGTCTACATGCTTTAAGCGTTCAGCATTTCGTGTAAACTTACCCGTTTACACGAAATTTAAATTATTATTAAATTATTATTATTCACAGGGTTGAAGAGGAAGGTTCTATTACCTGGGAGAATGCAGAGATGGCACCAGTGTAGGACCTAAGATTGCCTCTGTTATTTCAGCGTCGGCATGAGATGAAATGGAGATGACTTCTAGTTTTGGTCACACATTTACTATGAATTTCTTCCAAAAGAAATTCGGAGCGATAATCACTCGATTATTGAAACCACACAGTTAGTGACGCGTAAATTCCGAAACCCCAGGATTTATCTAACGTACGGTACGATATTTAATATAAAATACGAAGTATAATAGAAAAACTTCAATTGTGAGTTGTCCGCAGCTAAATGCCATCAAAATGTGCAGTCAATGTGGATCAGTAGGTAAAAACAGCAGAGCTGTGTGAAGGGCGATCCATGTATTATTCATAGAATGCGCAAATGTCAGGAACAGAATAAAGGGATACGGATGAAAATGTTCAACAATAATGGGCAAACGAATTAAGCATATACAGTAAATAATGTTCGACTATAAGATTAGTCGATTATCGAGTAATCGATTAGTAGCATATCGAGTGAGCTAAACTTCAGTAGCAAATAAAGACGTTGTTAAGAATTGGCAAATACAACTCACACAACTGACTAGAGGTATTCAGTACAAATTTTTACACAAAAGAAGGAATGACAAGGGGCGTACAGTAGAGGAATTAAGAACTTCTGTGTCATGAGAAGTATAGCTGGCAATATTACTCACAAGTAAATACTTGATTTTAGATTTATCTTATCGGTGACCAGTGCAGGCGAAGCAGAATGTTTCAGCAGTGCTTTATCAAGAAGGAATATGACCTGCGTAACACAGTCCTTGTTTGAACACTGTATTCAAAGAGAATGTTGATACCTGTTTCATATTTGACTAAAATGACCGCAAATACGCCTAAGTAAACCCTTGACATAGTTGCTGTATCCACTACTACAAAATCTCTTTATTTCCCAATATAAGAAAAACAAACCGATATTCCTTTAATGAACTTTCACTTTTTGATCCTAATAGCTTTGTGGTGAGAGCTGTCCGCAAGCCAAATTTGTAGGTAACAATTTACGTCAATATTACGTCCCAAGTCAGGGTCATGAGAAAAATAATAACAGAGCTTAACCTTGAGAAAATTATCAGCCAATCGCAGCGGAGTTAAAGTGTGGAAATAGGATTCACAGATATATGACTTGATTTTCTGAGAAACGGTCATAAAGAGGTAACAGAATAACATTCAGCGAGAAAAAACCAATCAGAGGAGGCTGCTTCTCCGTTGACAAAAACGCTAATAGTGTTGTACATAAAAATCTTTAAATTCTTCTTGATTTTTTCAATAAATGATCTGTTGCCTAGCCCTTGTCTTCTGTCGTTACAAATTTGTATTAGTATTAATAAACCGGAACTTACGAAATCTCACTTTGTATGTAACTACTTCATCACCATTCACCAACAGGGGGTAATTTTTACATTGTCCTGTCGGCCAATCCGTAAAGATAACAAAACCAAGTACAGATTGTTGGATTTGATAAGTGTATAAAATTAAGAAGGCAGCATGTGTTTATATAATAAAGTTACTTATCACATTCGCGTTGATTTTGTCATTTCATATCAATGCATACAGGTAATTATGGACACCAGTTGATTGGGATAATGCCGAAATTTTAGATAGAGGAAACACCACAAGTGCCGGAGAATTCCTAGGAGCCCGGTACCTAAGTGAATCAATGTTGAACCGACATACTGCTATAGACCAAATTCACCAACTAATAAAAGTAAATCACGCGACAGAAAAGTTCAAAGTAGAAGTCAGTAAAAAATGATCAAAAGGGATGTAAATCAACTACCAGTCATGAAGGTGGTTGACAGGAGTCACAATTTTATCATTCATGGAGAACTTAAATCAGTTCAATTTATACTAAAATTTGAGATGAAGATGATGTCCAGAAGTACGACGGAAGTTTCACAATTAAACCAACCAGCTCAGAGAAAATAACTAATCCCAAATTTATCATATCCAACAATCTGTACTTGGTTTTGTTATCTTTACGGATTGGTCGACAGGACAATGTAAAAATTACCCCCTGTTGGTGAATGGTAATAAAGTGGTTATGTACAAAGTGAGATTTAATAATAATTAGATAGAGCTATTAGGATCAAATAGTGAAAGGTCATTAAAAACAATATCGCTTTTTTTCATACACAGGAAAATACAAAACCTTTTATAATAATGGACATCATATGCCCAATACCCAAATTTTTCAAACTGTTAAAGTGAACTTGGTCTGGACATATCTTACTTTCTGCATCCTTTATTTTCATTTCCGGTGTGATCCTTGACGGGGATAAATGTCTGGTTGATCTCACAGCTAAACGGAAGGCCGCCCAACAGTTCATTATCTGGAAAGTGACTGGATAAGCTTCACCGTGAAGTGACAGTAAAAATTCAGATGCTTTCAATATTCGTTTAAGTTTTACCGAACTACTGATTGTTTTCCGGTACAGTATGATGGTGTGCACAAAAGTTTCACAACCAATAAGCCTTCTTTTGCATCGAGTTGGGCAACGATTCTGTCTACCTTAGACTTGAGTGAATCGCCCTACAGCTGACAGGAGCTAGGCAACAAAGGACTAAGCTTGATTCTCTTAATATATCCAGAAAATCTCAAGATCGCTGTGAATAAGAAGAATTCTTAGTGTCTGACTGACACATCATCGAGATTGCTGGGGTGGTCAGATGAGGTTCGCAGTGCTGTGAGAAGCAGATGCCATTGGCCAGTGATAACGCTAATTCATGAATTGGGAGAAGCTGGGACTCACGGGCTACTGAATTTCAGCCTGGTGGCCTAACGGTTAAATAGCTGCTCCTGCGCACTGAATGCCTCGGTTTCTACTGTTGGGTCATTTGCACACACTCGTAAAGATTTTCGAACCAGGACAAAACAACCGTCTGATGCTGTCCAGCTTTGAAGTGATTCCGTAACTGAAAAGAAGTCTACGCTTAAAGCCGAGAAACATAATTTTGTGTTGTAGTGTACTTATTATGATTCCGATTATTATACTATAGTACACTCAAGTTTTCACGCTCTAATATGTGCTGACGCTGTACATGGACAAAGACGAACAGCTTTGTAATGAGAAGCACAAGTGAAAAATTGGATGGGCGCAAGCCAAATACGGAAGTGCATGACCTGTAAAATATACATGTAACAAACGAAAATCAATGTTCAATAATTCAGTGACAAATATTCTAGAAGCGTATGCATAATTAATTTTCGTAAGCGTATAACATGCGTACATGAATTGGCTTTATAAGCGTACATGGGCTCTACAATATGACTTCATCAAAAGATAGGTCATTTATAAATAATGTGTTAATGCCTAAAAGTTGCGTTTCAAACGAGAAAATTGTGTTATAATGTTAAATTAACCATTCGCTGTTTTATACTTGTTCAGGACGCTTGGCCATATCGCTACAGTATGTCTTATTATAAAACCACTTTACTAGTTTTAATTTCGTTAGTTTCTTGCAGTTTCAGATGATTTATGGAGGTTCAGTCTGAATTAAAAAGCTGGCGTACAGAAACATTCTGTTCTAGTGTTCACCATCGTGTTTTTGCAATAGACGCCGAGTTTTTCAAACTGGGAAGCATATCATACCAGTTGATCCTTTTTTCAAACTTACAGGTAGTTCACCATTGTGTCTGACTTTAAAGCAATGATAATATTTGTAATTTGTTGACAGACCGCTTATTTTAAAAAAATCAACAAATTAGCAAGATGCCATATATCCTGTATATGTAATCTATCACTGTCATGGGTATCAGGAATTCTGACCACATTGTTTGTACTATGACTACACAGGAGTCACGAGGGCATGTGAGATTCATCCCACAATTGTTTGGGGTCCGATTGGGAGCACAAATGTTTGGCAGCAATACATTACACATGTTGAGTAAATGTCTCCCTACTGAAATCTGTATATTTATAATGTCTGTAGACTGGAATCCACTTTTTGCATTAGTTATGTATTATGATTGACAAACTGCTACTGCTTGAAATCACTGTTACGCGATGAGTAATTTATACGTATTGACGTCATGCATTGATACTTATTTATCATTCACTAACATTTTCCGCACCATAATCTACGTTGAAATCAACGAACTTCTAACATCAGTCTTAGATTATTCAGTAAAAATATCATCAAAGAAGCAGGAAATTTCTGAATTATTACACACTTATGACCTCACAATAAACGTGAGTCAAAAATAGTTTGACATAATTTATTTACAATTACCGTCACTAGTTAAAATTTGACAGGAAGACAAGGTCTGCCGCAAGACTACAAGCTTACTGCATTTTATATGTTGTTGAATGTTTTTTGATATTGGACATTGGGTCAATGGCACATTTTCGCATTGTGCGTTACTGTAAAGCTTGATTTCGCTCAAACTGGCAATTGAAGTGGTTTTGCTGCGGGGATTCACTGTGATTCCCCTTTTTCGGTAAGTATAAATAAATGAGGGTGTTATTAAACTACGGCAGATCAAAACTCAATGAGTTGCATCTGGTTTCAGTGAAGACGAACACAACTTTCATTAAGTTACTTCTGTGAGAAGAAAAGGAAACCGTACGATCGCATTTTTGTACATAAGTTTGCATAGACAGAATTATTATTTAACTGTATATGACAACTAAAAAGTGTATAGAGGATAATAATTTTCAACTTGTTATGAGAGTTTTAAGATGTGGATTTATAAATCCACATCTTATAACCTTTAGGTTACGAGGAGATCGTAAACAAAATTACATGTGGTTAGAAAATAGGTTTTTTTAACGAATGCAAGTATAAATGTGATTAGCGTGGAAACAATTTAAGATAAAGTGTATAACGAATGGAAAAATTGATGGGAGTGAAATAGCAGAAAACGGAAACTGTTGAGTCAAACTAAACCAGGCCCATGCTAAATATGAAGATGATGGACAGGTTTCTTTTGAAAACATAATCCCGGCGTCATGATGCATATTGCTAGCTCTTTTGCAGTACGATGAAGTAAACACACACTGCCTTTGGTAGATTTTTGTTTACTTTTTAAATGACTTTGATTTATGAGTCACTTGAGACTCCATGACAACTGCTGACGAGGTATTCAATTATGGCGCTTCTGGTTGAACTAGTGTCGCCTCTTTGCAGCCTTGCTGCGTAGTGCCCCGCAACGCGTTTTGAAAAGACTCGCGTATAACGATTCATGTAACTAGCTCCACAGGAGCAGACAAATTGATATCTGCATACTGGATTGCTTATCTGTGGAGGTTTTTCCTTCAGATTGCTTAAGAGCAGTGGGCTACTAGATAATATCACTCTGAGTTGCTGCACGAAAGGTCTTCTCTAGGGAACCGGATATTTTCCCTGTAAGGATATGTGCAGCCAAGTGTCCCTTGAAGTTCAAATTCAAATATAGTGTATTCTTTGGTACTGAAGTGCATTTCATTTGGCTTTGGTTTCATGTTTTCTGCGAAAGGTCCTGGTTTTACGTTTTGAGCCAGGATTTTTTTGGGAAGTGAAAGCTCTTCTAATCAATCACTACTGCAAACCCTTTTGATACGTTGGGTAAGTGAGAGGATCAGAGCTCTTTTTAAATGCAGCTACCCAACTTTATCCTCTTATAATCCATATTCACATCTTAAAACTCATACCAAGTTGAAAATTATTATCCGCTTAACATTCTTTCGTAGTCATATGGAGTCAAATAACAATTGTATCTATATAAAATTATATACAAAAATGCGATTGTACGGCTTTTGACAGTGAAGTCGCCGGAAAGACTTCTTTTTTGAAATTCTTGCTCTTCACACTCCACTTTGTTGTTGTGTGAAACTCGATTAATGCGACTAAACCTCTAAGTTCGCGGTAATTCTCATATTAACATTTTTGTTTCAAAGTATAGAGGTCCACTTCAGTTACTTGCGTCGTGCAAATACTTGTGTTGTGACCGGTGAAACGTCCAGTTGTAATTCCAGTAGTAATGTAGGAACAATGAAGTGGAGTTTAGAGCTCATATTTGTTTTGATATTGACCACTAGAGTTCTTGGTTACCCGCTATGCAAGGTGAGCGAAGTGACGAGACGCATGTTTTAAATTCCGTCAGAATGTTAGTTTGGAATAGAACCTGAAGTCACTAACACTGGAGAACGTGTGTTACAGACGTAGTCATAGCCACATAATGAACTTAGAACAATTTTCCTTTTGTATCGGCTCCAGGATGTACGACTTTCTAACTATCAGAAAATAAGTTTTTATTTAGTTTCCTATTTAATACTTCCTAATCCTCCTAAATACTAGTGATGAGACTATAACTATACGTATGGTGACCAATTTGTCCTCGTGATTTAGAAAAATTGATCTAAGCTGTTCAACAGTACTTATTCAGACTCACGTGTCATTTGTTTCTTACTGTTATGTGAAACGATTATTAAAATACAGTGAGTTGCATTTAGTTCCATCTCACAAATCTCAATAAAACTGTCAGTATATCGCAAGTCAAAACTTCATTTTCTGCTACAGTTTTTGTATTTCTGATAGATGTAAATCTCTTTTAAGTGCTTTCAGGAGAATTTCTAAGTGGGGGCAAAATTAGACCAGGAGTAAGTGTGCTAAAAAGATTACCCTCAGTTTTCGGTTAATTCTAGTTTTATGCAGTTCAGCGAACCAATACACACCATGTTAGGCGTACGGCGTTAAGAAGTAATAGTCGACAACATATAACGACTGTTTTATGTAATACGTAGCTAGAAAAGGTCAGCAAATTATTGGTTATCATTCTTTCTTAATGTTTTCTCCAAAGCACTTTTGGAACAGTTTCAAACCTGGCGAGTGATTGCGGTGTTGATCTCTTAATTGAGTGAGCAAAAAAGCACACAATGCATTGATCAAAAGCAGTGTCTACTTTATTTCATGTTATAAGACTGACTGAACATTATGCTACACCTTTCTTGATCTTCTTGTCTCCATAATCATATTGTTTTTTTTGTGCGGCATTTATTTCTGTTCACGTTGCATCAAGTTTGTATGCAGTAAATATTAGCTGCTCTCAGTGTCACGGTTTACTAAGCTATCTTTCTGGTACAATTCACTATTTTTTGTTAAACATGTTTACTAAGACTATTTTCGATATTTTTTGGTGTAATGAGTACAGCGATTGATTCTGTTAGGATGCTCTCGCAAAACTGCGAAACAGCTTATTTGATAAAATGACTGTGGTATTAGGAGTATTTACATTGTATTCATTGACTACTTACCTTTCCACAGTCCTTTCACAACTATTTTATGCATAATTTGACCAAATCATGAGGTCAAATAGTGTCATTCGTTGAACTCAATATATAAAAAAAAATAAAAACAGTTTTTGACTCTTTTCAGTAGAGTCCATCTATCTCAGCAATGGTGTTTATCAAAATGTTTAGGTAAGGATGTCTCAGTCGGTTTAAGAAACTAAATAACTGATTAAGATAAAGTCATAAGGTTATCTTTCGCGAATAAACATTTCTTGTCTAATGTGTCTATATGTGTTTCTTTTGTTGATATTGGTTAAAATTATTCTAAAATAGAAGATGATTAAGGATTACGTAAATAAAATCTTAATTGCCTCCTTGTATTTTGGATTATATAAACAAAATAACTAATAAGCTGTTATTGTTATTATTGTCCTTCTATCTTCAGAATGTAGCACGCTTTTACAAAAAGAATCAAACAAATAGCAAGAATTATGTCTATTTTTGTCACCATTCCAAATTTAGTCGAGAATATGAACGTGTTATGTCAGCGGTTAGAAAATTATTTTGGCGTTTCCGTTTCTTTATTGCAAGATAAACTAAAACTGTGTGGAACTCCGGACAAACTGAATGCAGCTCAAGTATGTGTGGTTTTTTCTTAGTGATTATCATGTTTTCCCTTTTTTCTTTAAATAAATTAGGATTATGCGCTTCGGTTTATCAGTCCAGAATCGGTTTTAGTAATAATACTGACTTCAGCTGAATGTTTGGAGCTATTCAGTTGTAATTTACCATTAATTCGTCATTTCGAATCAAAATATAATATTATACTTATCAAAAATAATAACGCACTGATAGTTAAGGGAAGTGCACATGCGAACAAGCGATTTTCAATGGTTATACAATCATTAGAATCATTTTCAAAAACCAAATGCACATATTTGAGTAATTTAAAAGTTTCGATTTTAACATCTTTGTGTGAAAAATACTCAGTGAAATTTGCTGATCTACAGTGTTCAGATTCAATGAAACTTGCTCTTTTGGATTACTTTACTTCATTGGAGAAACCTGAAGTGATGACTAATGGTTGTTCTGTTGATTCTCCAGCTGAAAAAGTACATTTTGTGGAAGCTTATCGTAATCCAGGCAATAATAAACCATATATTAATCAAAGTAAGTGTTTCGTTTAATTCAGTTATTGCCTATGTAGTGTTTTTCCATGAAATTGTTTTGGCAGAAAATTCAAAAAAACCTGTTCTCATACTTTTATAAACACTGAAAGCAATTCACAACTGACTCAGAAATCTTGTAGAGAAGTTTCCATCAAATTATTTGATGACTATTGACATTGAAAATGCATTCTCAAGAAAGTCGGTTAAAGTAAAGAAGATTGAACTTATACCCCCTAAAGTTGAAAGTTGTGCAACAGATCATAACTCAATAAACAGTAATGTAGGCATTCTTTTTAGCCTTGTTTCGCTGTTCTTATAACTATCTAATTGTCACGTGTTTTCACGACACGCCAATACAGAAGTTAACATGATCAAGTATAATAAAAGTATTTACTTCAGCGTAGATGTTAGTTAGAGAATTTTAAAATGATTAGTTCCCTTTATGAATTTAGATAAAGCAATAAAAAGACGTAATTTGTCTGAATTGTGTAATGTATTTGCGCAACACATTTCGAACAATCTGATCACACACGGACTTGTCATAAGAATGTGTATATATGAAATTAATAGAGTTAAGAGGTGAGAAAATAGACTTAGGTCAAGTTAAAAGGATATATTGAAGGTCTAAATAACAATGAAGACCACTAAATTAAATAGCAGAGGTGATAATGCAAGTTCATTTAACCTTTTGATAGTGTGTGGTTAAATGAACTTGTTAAACTCAGGTGTAAAATTATCGTCGAACGTAACACGTTGGAATTTTATGAATCATGTATTAAAAATCACTCCTTCCAGAGGCAATTTTATAAAACTTCGAAATTCAGTAAATTGTTGTGTAATCAAGTGACTTTTTTCGACATAGAACTACGTTGCACAGATGTGCACCAGTTCGAGTTGCCACTCCCCCTCCCATGTAGCCCACACACAAAAAGAGAAAAGAGTAAAAGGACATTCGAAACACAAAGATAGAGGATAAACAGAAGTGTGCGTGAGAGGAAAAGAATAGTAATATGCAAGAAGAAAAGGAATAGAGTTTTATTGGATTTGATAAATCACAAAGAGTGAATGCATCTTCGCTATCATTGAGAACGATGATTTTGAGCCAGCCATATCACCATCGATTGTCTCCAGCCTTCATTGCTTCTTACCACCATTCCGAGGACCCCAACCAGCCAGTCAGGCGGCAGTCTGCCCCACCCTACGTGGCTGGCTGGCTTAAACTAACTGTTGTGATGGATTCGATTGACTGTTGAAGCTGGCCATATTTCGGTGTGACCACCATAATGTGCTAGCAAGCTAGCTAGGTTGCTCCTTTCCAACCTGATCCATCTATCCTATGTCAACCAAGCTAACATTGCCCATCGAGGTGCTCGTGTTAGCTGTAAATTTGATGAAAAAGGACTTGGTGATCAACCCTTCCCTCCTCTCACCTATCTACACCACTTCTTAGAATTGTAGTTTCGTCCCACTTTCATATTAGTTTGTTTACTAGGTATATCACACAGTGAAACAGTATTATTTACTGGATGACGTTTCGAACAAAATTTATTGTTCATAATCATATCAATTGTCTTCGTCCCACTTTGTTGCACGATTGTGTGTAAGTGCAGTTGCTGAGTGTTTTTTCTAGGTTAATCACAATTTTAGAGTCAAACACCTTACACTTAGTTAAATTCCCATGTTCTGATAACTTGACTGACTACGCTGTACTGAGTCGATGTGTGTATAGTTAACCTCACTTTCATTGCAAGATATGCTGTAGATATTATTTTGTTTAATTTGACCAGTAGCATTCTCTAGCTTACATAGCTTGTCTGTGGGCAGTTAGCTTGTAGGTTTAAACGCCACCCTAATTCCTGCTTTATTGAGTTTTAGATTTCCCTTGCATAGTAAAGCTGTAGATGCCTTAAATTATTTTTTATTCATGTTACCTTTACTAGTTTCACTACCATTTTCCCTTTTTTGCAAACGCTTTTAATTTTAATGAATTTTATGTGTTAGCTATATGGCATAAAAGGTTTGTCTGTTTCATTCCTTTATTTAGGGTGTTTGTTGTACCCCTTTAGGATTTTCGCTTAGTTTGTTACATTCACTTAACTGAATCTGTCTTTACAGATAACAGATGAGAAGACCATGAAAGTGTCACCCACCTATCTCTATTAATGCTTTGACGTGGGATTAAATGTATTAAGAGCTGCATTTCCCCTTACTCTCAATGAAGATATCTGCTACGATCGGATGTATTGGTGATTCTAATACTAATCCTTCTGTGTGCCTATACATTTTCTCCTGGAAATTGAAATGAGTAGGGGTGAAGCACAATTGAATTCCTTGAATAATTTCCTCACAATGAGTAGCTTTGTCCTGCGAGTAGTGAGTTCAAGAACTTCATTTGTAAAGGGAGATGGGCAAGAGACTTGGTAACGAAATGTTTATTTGGTATTTTCATATACATAGGGGAATTATGTACACCTTATGTGAAAATCATCATTTGCACAGATCTCCTTTTCGTGTCTCCCTTGTTTTGTCGCAATACACTGGTTCATTTCCTCCGTTGTTGACGTCAAATCTATCCGCTATTTGATGTTTTTGTGCTGATGAATGTCTCTTTTCACACTACTGATAAATCTTGTCAGTAGCACACGCTACACCGTTGACTCTTCTTTTAAAAATTTCTTCTAACTCCGATATTGGTTAGTATGTTAGTATAAAGACCAGTTATGTCAAAACTCTTTTTTTATTATTTCCTTTTTGTATGTCATATAACACCAGTAAATAATACTGTATTCAATATAATTATTCTATAATGGAATTATACTCTACCATAGAGGCTAGATTTTATCCTTATTTTAATATCCTTGTGCACAAAGGAACGTGAACAAAACAAGAACGGTAAGCGTACCGGGATAATATAAGCTCGTCTGCTTCGACTAAATGTCTTCAACTCTATCGTTGTTTCTTCTTTCAATGTTCGCTGTGTCTATGTTGAGAATTTACCTATTGACATATATCACTTTGAAGACAACTATTGTCAAGTTATGTGATTTCATCATGAGCTGACATAGGTTCTAGAACCATTGGAAACCCAGCTGAGAGTACTGGACAGCTATTTCGTCCGCCTAGTATGGGACTCTCCATCAGTACGCACCCACCACAAGGGTTCAAACTCATTACCTTTTCGTTACAAGCCGAAGTTGTAGACCATTAAGCCACTGGAAACTAGATCCAATGGCCCACGATCCAGTAATCACAGGTATTCCAGTGGTTCTCTTACCGATACCAGTTCATGATGAAATCCTGTAACCAATCAAATCCCTGCAAACCAACACTTTAATATCCATCAGAAGTGTTAATCAAGGGACCATCGATAGTCTCCTAAAGCCATGCCACCAATTTCATATAGGAGCATATAATGTTAGGACACTTTGCCAAATAGAACAACAAGCATCACTAGCCAAGACTCTGGCATCCCGAGCCATTGATGTATGTTGTGTTTCAGAAACACGCATACAAGACCCAAGTGTGGTTATTCACCTAACCCCACCTGGCCAACAGGATGAATCTGCAAAATTCACCTTGAGGGTGTTAGGAGATGCCACAGCTAGCTCACGAGGATTAGCTGGTGTTGGGATAGCTTTGAGTACTAGGGCAGAAAAGACGTTACTTGACTGGATCCCGGTAGATAGCCGAGTGTGTGCTGTCCGTCTGAACGGATCACTGAAAAGGAGAAAGGACTGTACTACTCGCCGATGCCTTTTCGTAATCTCCGCCTACGCCCCCACTAACTGCAGTTCGGATGAAACGAAGGATGAGTTCTACCAAAAGCTGTCTAGTTTGCTACGAAAAAAAACAACAAACCATTTTATACGCAAGATGAAAACTGGTTGTTGGATAATAAATAATCAACAAAGTTAGGCGACAAATTCTTTCTCGTTGATTTACTGGACCTATCATAGCCTTCATTTCATATCAGTTCAGCAATATAATTCAAGATAAAAATATCTAAAATCCAGTCTAGTCACCTTCATCAATAAGCCAATGATAAACTTAAATTAGCAAAGTAGTTCTCCAGCATCTCCTACTTGGGTGCATAATTTCAACTTCAATGCACTGGTTAACGTAATATGCTTTCTTGCCACTTACCTTATGGATAGGTATTGTTACAGTATCCCAACCCTCCGCCATTCGACGGAGTGGAATATTTCTTTTAGGTTAATTAATATGGCATATATTGGATTCTGGCAAGTATTTTTGTATTCCAGAACACCTGTCGCTGACTGAAGCTTTGACAAATGCATATCTGTCAGCTGCAGTTAGTCCCCATATACTTGTAAAACTCATCTTTTGAACTACATTATTCCACTGGTGGTTACCACAAGAATATTGGACCCCTTACTTGTGAATTGATTCAGTCAGTTATCTACACCAGTATGACGAATTTATCGCCGATTTCCTTGCTAGCTAGTACTTTAGTTATTCTAGTCAATAATCCATCATTACCGTTATTAAACACTTCTGGCTTACTAAGTGTGCGTATATTATTTATTACTCCCAGAGATTTTTCCACTTATCATAGCGTTTCTAGGATCTCTGTCTTCAATAAACTCGAATAATTGGTGCATTTTATTGATGTGCTAGTGAATTCCTTTCTTCAGTCACATCGCATTCTATCATTGCTCATGGTCATTAAAATGAAATTTGGTCATATTATCTGTAAGCAGCTGTCTTTGTTAATCGACTTCGGAGCTGTCCTTCATCATAGCTATCTGCGTTCTATCTACATCCTGTGTTAGCTCAACTGGTATAATAGGGTGAGTAATATTCAATTGGTGAGGCGTCAGTCGAGTGCTAGGCAAGGAGGTGGAGGAGGGAAAGTCAATCGACAAGGTTGTCAAGTTATATTGATTGAGTGACATAGTTAAGACATGTGTTACACATGCAGGCATGCCTGTCTGTCTACCTGCCTAGCCATAGATCGCCTTCTTTGACCAACAGCTAATGTTAGCTTGACTGACATAGGATGGATAGATAGATGGATCAGCTAGTTCGCTTGCTAGTACGTCATGGTTGTCACACCAAAATATGGCCAGCTTCAACAGTCAATCGAATCCATCACAACAGTTAGTTTAAGCCAGCCAGCCACGTAGGGAGGGGCAGACTGCCACCTGACCGGCTGGTTGAAGTCCTCGGAATGGTGGTAAGAACCAATGAAGGCTGGAGACAATCGATGGTGATATGGCTGGCTCAAAATCATCGTTCTCAATGATAGCGAAGATGCATCCACTCTTTGTGATTTATCATATCCAATAAAACTCTATTCCTTTTCTTCTTGCATATTACTATTCTTTTCCTCTCACGCACAGTAGTACAACTGGACCTCGTCTTTCCAACTAATATTATTTATAGGTACAACATTTTCTTTCTTTTCCTATTCTCTCTTTTTTTTCCGTTTTGGGCTGCTTCGTTTCTTTCTCTCGCTTACGCCAGTAACACCTTCAAACACTTTTCAGCTTTGGCTTTGCTGCCGACATGCCAATATGTTGTTGTCAAAATGAGCTGAGATTTCCTTAATCTATGTAGAATTCTATTTATTGATAATGTACTAACTAGATGTAATACTGTAGTAAAAATGCTGAGAATTCCATTCTGTATCACAAGTACTGTTTTGGAATAAAGCAAATTATTATTATTATTATTAAAATTATAAAATACGTATAGTGTTTGTTGTCGTCCAGTTAGTTATTCGCCGGATAAATTTTTTAATGTAGAAAAACAGATTAGTTATGGGGTGGCAAAATAAATAGTAGTATTTGTGTGAGAAACATCTTTCTAGGCTGAAATCGATTAGAAGATATTGTGAAATGGTTGACAATGGTGGTGATTAGTCACATTAGATTTGTAGAGTGTGGGGTAGGAAAATTGACAAGTAAGTCAGATAAAGGTTCCAAAATGTGTCACGTGAGTGACAAGCTAGTACATAGTTGTGTATATTAAAGAGGAGATGATAAAACTGCAATGAGAGGCACACATTATTATTATTATTATATTACTATTCTGTTCCTCTCACGCACACTTCTGTTTATCTTCTCTCTGTGTGTTTTGAATGTCCTTTTCCTCTTTTCTCTTGCTGTGTAGGCTACATGGAGGAGAGTGGCAACTTGAACTGGTGCACATCTGTGCAACGTAGTTTTATGTTGAAATCAATCGGTCAGTCACTTTCGCAGCCCTCTATAACTAGTGGTCTTACATCGAATGGTTTAGATTAGGGTAGATGGTTCCACTGATGTCATCTGTTAACCTTCGGTTATCGGTCATCATTTATCAGAATTCGTCAGTATCCAAATCTTTCATAGATAATTGCTTTCTACTAAATACAGACATACCATGTACGTTTATACACTGACAAGATAAGCACTTTGCAACTGCTTATTTGCTACATTCATTCATTCCTTCACAAGCATATATGTGGTTCAAAGCGATAATCAAAGACTTCATGAACTCATGCCAAGTCTTTATTTGACCATCTCAAACTCTTTTCTAACCTAATCCTATATCTACAAACATTGCTGGTCAAGGAAGGCGGTAGTTGGGAATGCGTAATATGTATCCCAGTCGCTTCAGTGGATGTAGACTGACAACCGCACCGATTGATTTCCCTTCATACGCCTTGGCCTTCTACGTCTAAATTCAATATTAATCACCATGCATTATACCACGTAACTTGGAAGTTAGAGCACAAACACATGTGGTCAAAGACAGCTAACCCCTTCTATTCTTCCACTTTCAATGACCATGTCTCACTGCCACAGAAAAGGAAAGAGCGTACTGCTGCTGCTCAGTGCACACGTCCTTTGGTCGATAACCGGATATCACTTTTGAGCGGGAGTTGATGTGTAGGTTGGCAGAAACCACACAATCCTTTGTATCCATGTTGGGATTTCGTTAGCAATCAGTGCACTGAGGTTGGTGCAAATTCCGAAAACAAATGAAGTGGTTAACACTCTCCAACACTCCAATTCTTATCTTTTAGCTGGAATTGGCTGTAGTCCAACTGCGCGGCGTCATCTTACATTTAAAAGGGATGAATCGCATGCCAACGATACTAAGATTTCTGTTCAAGATATTAAGAAAACTGCTTTCTCTCAGCGTTTTCGCCTAGAAGGACAATATCATCCGTATACTCGAAGTCGGCTAGACTGTTGTTTCCTGTTAACAAGCCAGTCACCGACTCGCTAAAGTAATTAGATTCAATTCCGTTAATTCACTTATGATGAAATTAAACAAAAATGGGGGCATTGGGTACCCCTGACGGACACCACACCGTATTATTCGGCTTCATAAATTGAGTGTGGTTGTATGTCAGTTATATTACTCCTCAAAGTATTCCCTCCAGCTTTCTAGTCGTCTATCCTTAGGGGCAACTAAAGCGTTGTTTCTCTCGGAGATTGCCTCGCTTCTCATTTGTCTTTTACAACCTGTTTTTCTAAAAATCCAAAACAGTTGTCTGTTTGGCCCGTTGCATATTCCACCTCTTTCGCTTTTGTCATCTTACACTTTTCGTGGTCATTGCGAAGATATTTTGTTAGTTTATGTTTGAGCAGCTTTCGCTTCTCATCATCACTTTCAGAGTCCTCTCGGAAACGTCTTGTTGCATCGGTCAGTTTGGATGAAGCAAATAACCTTTGGTTTTAGGTTATCAATAGTCTGTACTGTTGTTTCTGCAGTTGACTGGATATTATGCCAGGCTTTCTCAGGATGAGTCTTGTCAGTCTCGAATAAGCGTTTAAACAAAGATTGTTTCCTCGGCGAGTTGATGGTGTATTTGCTTTTCAAATCTGCCTGTATCTGTTCATTTGTAGGCACAGTCAAGTGAGTGAAGTCTACGCAGGTGTTCCCGAAGGAGTGACAATCTTATACCGACCCTCTCCTTCGATAGCTTTTAGCTAAGTGATCTATTTGAGCCCATCGTTGATTCAATGATGGTGTCCGGGATAGATAATGTCTATCCCCTCATGGTTGAAGTTAGTACTGATGAGGTACAGTTTATTATCTGGACAGAAATGTATAAGATGTGTAGATGTAAATTTAGAGGCTATTTGTCTTCAATCCTGTTGTACTCTAACAATGATCCACAACCACCGTAAGGATTCTATATAGATTATCTGAGCGAACACTAACTGGTGTCATGAGTTGAGTCCTTTCTTTGGTGAAGACGGAAATCTGCTGTCAGTCAAGTTTGCACTGCTGGCCAACGACAGGCCAGGTGGCTGGCCAACACGGTGCACTCGGAATTGTTGTTATTAGATGGTTGCCCTAAATCAATCGGCAGGAAGCCTTGAACCTAGGTTTCGTGCTTGTAGTCACTCGTCAGCAAGGCGTGTCCGCAACCATCTAATATATAGATTGTGTTCACAGACTGTTTTTGTCTTTAACTGTATACACATATTCAGTTGATAGAGTTCCACATTCCCTTAGTGAATAGTTACTTATTATGTTTCATCATTGTTCCCTTGGGTTCCGAGTGGAACATAGGGTTTCAGCGACACATCTCCACGTTGTTCTATTTTCTACTGTCCTCTTTAGCTGGGTCTACAATTGCCCATAGTCCCTCATCTGTTCTCCAAACGTTCTTCTCTATGTCACACTCGCACTGATAACCCACTCATCGTTTCCCATTCGGTTCCACTCGAATGATGACTTTCATTGCGCGCGATGTCATTCGATGATCTCCTCAACGTGTGCCCAATCCATCTGTCTTTCTTCATGCATATTTGTTGAGCATTAAGCTCTCGGTTAGTTTGTTCCCAGAGTTTATTGTTGCTAATGCTTTCTGATCTTCTATATGCAGCCGTCGAAGGCAGAAGCTGTAACCCGTTGGAAATGCTTTTCATGACTCTCATGTCAAGTTTCTGACGCATATAGAAGGACCGACTTCACGTTTGTATTGAAAAGCCGAATATTGTTGTTTAAACTGACTGAGTGCAGAAAATTTCCAAACTGATTTTAGATTGATGAAAGTGCGCTATCTGACTTTGACATCTTCATCCGTCCTTACTTTTTGTGGTTCAAACGATGCTTGCTGCTTCCCGTTGATTCCATCTGCTCTCGCAGGTTCCGAGCACTTTTATACCATGTCTTCTCATTTCTTCGGCTACCTGAACTACCTCTCCAGCTTCTTACACTGTATAAAAATCTCACGTCCCCATTCTTATTTTTGCTTTCATCGAGCGAATGCACATCGGTTGACTGACTTCCTAAAGGCTTTCACCAGCCTGCTGTGTCACTTCGCCTCTCCGATTCCAGCCAAAAACAAGTTCGTTATTTTATATTTTCTGTATTTTTAATATTTTCTTGAGTTTAAGTTTCTGTAGCAGTTTGGTCGGTTTTCCGGGGTAGAGTCGCTAGCCCTAAGCTTAAACCACCCTCTTTCTTCGGGCCTTAGACAGATTAAAAAACTAACTGGCTAGTAAGCTAGGCGAGGTTAGTATCGTGAGCAGGATGTTACTAATTTTTATTCTTTCCTGTTGAATTTAAACTGAAAGGTAGCACCATTTCAGCTGTCAGTTATCGGCTGATAAACATACTCCTGAATGTCTAGTAATAGTAGTAATAACAACGATAAAAGACAATAATAAACCATCCCTTAATTTTTATTTTCTCAAATTTGTAGATAATATAACATTCAATTCATCTTCTTCGGCGAAGAAATCTCCCTTTGTTGAAACCCGATTAAGACCCATCATAATTGATGGGAGTAATGTGGGTTTTGCGTAAGTAGTAGTAAATTACTAAATATTTTTGTTGTTAATTATACCAAAAGTGTGTCTAATTTGTTAGTTAATGTTATATATATATATATATATATATATATATATATATATATATCAGAAAAATAAATTTCATTGCCTATCTTGCCACGAGTATCTATCGCATTTGCACCAAAGATACATTGAGTAAGGAATCAAAGTCCTTCAAAAACAAGATGCGTACCGAACGCGCTTCATCAATTAATACTTAAAGAAAAAAACCGATCCTTCAAGAAACCTGTACTAGCCTCCCAAACTTTTTTATCATATATCTCACTGGGGTCTTGAAATATGAGGAGGCAATAACTAGCACGCCGCGTTTACGGAAGTTTTTTTGTGTATCATTATGCATACATCCTAAGAGAACTATTAAAATTGCTTGATAGGATCGATAACTTTGACTTGTGTGTATCGATGAATAGAGTAGTCAGTAGTATAGATATAATACATTTAGCTTGAATACTGACTAGACTCGGAGCCATTGAATTTCAATTTTGCCTTGCGTTCCACCTGTTTCAGCCTTGACATTAGCTGTCACACAATAAGTGTGTGTGTGGGTGTGTGCGTGGGTGTATATGTGGCTCGCAGCCTTAAACATGAAAGAGTTGTTTCGCTTGATTGGATTCTTGTAATCTTGTAATTGCATTATGGTATAAATTAAACTCTTAAGTTTTAAAACGTATGTCTAATCAAATAATAATAATAAGCCTAATAAATTTCAGACGACTACTGAGACTTTCTTTTCTTTTCTTTTGGTAATGTGCTATTTTGTAACTTTTGTTTCTGATAATTCCACTAGAGACCATCGACTTCATCTGTGTTAATCTTTTATAGAAAATTATATGAATGCAGGTATACTACCTCAAAGACTACGGAAGCTGCTACTCCGCTGCACAATGAATGTGCAGTTTAAGTTTAACAATGAATGTTACCGTCAAATGGAGGGCTTAGCAATGGGTCCCCCCTGTGGGTCCTCCTTTTAGCCGATATGTTTTATGGCAAAATTAGATAATAGTCCACTGAAAAATGTCACCAACAAACTCTCGTTCTACTGTAAGTGTATGGACTATACTTTTTTTGTCTTGCATAAGAATAAAATCAATGATGAGGTCCTTCTCAAAACGTTCACAGTATGGCCCCCCTCCAAAAAATATTGAGTTGACACATGAAAAGGAGAAAGACAACACCTTATCATTTCTGGATGTCTAGCTAACACGAAGGCAAGGTGGCAGGCAGTATAAAGCAGAATATTTTCTAGAAGAAGTCATGGGTTGGCCAATATATCCATTTCGGATCCTTTCTTCCTCCTCTTGCATACAAATGAAATCTCATCAGTTAGCACCCTGACGTTCCGTGCTTGGAGAATCTGCACAAGCGATACTATAGACAATGAAATAAGGAAAATGGAAAACTTATTATATGAGAACGGATACCTCGAAAAAATTGTTAAAGACTCCATTAGGGAGAACAGACGGTAAGAAATGCCTGCGAATAGTGCAGAAGAAACGCATATACATAACTTCACCCGTTTAAAGGAGACGTAGCAACTGAATTGCTGGCATCGAAACTTCTAAAAATAATAGCTAAAACATTCTCTCCTGTTGCAACATTCTCTTTCAAATTCGCCAGTCGTTGTATAATTCCAGCACAGGTGAAAGATAAGCTACTGAGTCTGGCCACCTCATCAATGTGTATTTACAAATTTAATTGTTTATTTGTAGACATTTGCATAGGTAGAACGATTCGGGAAGCTCACCGTCGCCTTCTAGAGTATTTACCCAACGTCACTAGTCAGGTAAATGAGTCGTAAAGCCAATCTGAAGTTGGATACTGGCACACCTAGTGGATACGGAGCACAAGATTAACAAAACATTAAGCTTTCACAATTTTATACAAGGTGCCACCTCAACTCCCCAGGTTGGTACGTCTTCGGTTGCTAAGCATAGCTGAGGCAGTTGCCATGAGGACTTTTCAACCAAATTTCTGTTGTGTTCAGAAGAAGTTTCTTCTATCTGTCTTCCTCTCTTGGCCTTCACCACCCACCTAAAATACTTATCTCTCCCGGTGATACCGAATAACTGTAAATATCTTCTTCTTATTTTATTTATAATGCTGACTGTATTATCAATACCATACTGTGTTGTACGTCGTGCATACTAATCTCGGTCTCAATTTATTATTATCTTATCTAATCGCCATGGGGCAGTAGTTACTTCCCCCTCTACCCCTACTAGTATGCAAATTCTACCCATGCTATACACTTACCATTGCCTAGATGATATAAACACTTGAATGGATTTATCCTTGTTATTATTATTATTATTGTTATTATGATCCCCTCAAATGTTATCCATTGGTTAGCATCCCTGAACTCTGATCCTATATATCTCACTAACCATATTGATTCAAGTGCCTATGACTAATATTTCGTCACTAGGTAAATGCAGTAAGCCCGATGAGGATATACCGATTTGTTTGTTTAAATCGTGTTATATAATGCCGCATTAATTTGTTTATTGAATATTTCACACAGTGAAACAGTATTATTTTTCTAGATCATTATCTCACAAATGGAAAAGAAGGACAAGTACCGTAGAAATCAAGTGTCAAAGTTACGGATATGCCTGTGAACAATAATTTGTGTTCGAAATGTTATCGCAGTTATATAATACTGTTTCACTGTGTGACTTATTATTAATTTATTTTATTCCCTTAATTTCCCAGTGGAACATTGATTTTCAATCTAGAGCTTTGAAGTTTCAGTAGCAGTGGTACTTACTCATTCCCACCACTGCACTGGCCTTAACGAGGTTTAGGAGTGCGGCGGTCGGCGACTGGACTCCAGACCACATGCGTGGCTGACGAGCGTTCTACCGCTGAACCACCGGCGCACACTGTGATTTTTCTGTCTCTCTCTCACTATTATTATTATTATTGTTTCCTTTAATTCCTAGAAGAACATAGGGCTTCAGCCGTGCGTCTCCATTGCGTTCGGTTCTCTGCTAGAGTTTTCACCTGACTCCAAGTCTGCCCACACGTTTTCATCTCCTTTTCACATAACCTCCTCCAAGTCACCCTCGCACTGACGACCAACTCGCCGCTTCCCTTTCGGGTTCCACTCGAGCAATGGCTTGTCTAGTGATGTCACTTGATGGTTTCCTCAGAGTAACGCCAATCCACCTCCATTTCTTCCTGCCTATATATATATATATATATATATATATTCAATAAACAAACGAATGTGGAGTTATTTACCACCACAGTGTCCATATTATGCAAATATATTAATTTTATTGTTTGTCTTAACAATTTTATTTTATTTTTTTTTGATTTTTTCTAGTCATGGGAAACAAAAAGAATTCAGTGCTAAAGGAATCCGTTTAGCACTGGATTATTTTGATAAACGTGGTCATCAGGATGTGGTTGTTGTAATACCTAGACATTATCAGGGAAAAGGTGGTCGTTACTTCGATGAACTTGAGCATTCAGGTAAATTAACGTATACGCCGTCACGAACACTGAATAGAGAAAGACAAACAGTATATGATGATCGGTAGGTCCCACTTTTTGTATTAAAAAAGATTAGGATCATTGTTAAGATGTCTCCATATGTAGAACTTTTAACTTTTTTTTCTTTATTCCTTCACGTTCCCAGTGGAACATAGAGCTTCAAGCTAGAGGTTTAAAGTTTCTGTAACAGTGTTTATTTTTACAGGATGGGGTTGCTAACCTCATGCCCAACATTTCCTCTTTACGAGCATCTTTCATTTCTGGCTTAGCGAGGTAAAAGAGAGCACCGGCCGGGGATCGAACCCCAGACCATGTGCATGGTCGGCGAGCATCCTAATCGGTGTGCCACCGACTCATGGAACTTTTAATACTGAGTCGTATTGAGATACGATTTAAATGATATAGTAATAATAATAATAATAATTAACAATTATAAGTTGCCGAATATACCCATTGAGTTATGGAGAAAGTTTTCTTTACCGACGAAATCATTTCGTTTAGAGGCTGTACAGTCTCATTTATATTTACCAAAAGTGTATAGTAGTCCATTATTGTGTAGCAGGGGGGGAATAATATAACTGGTATAATTACTCAAAGGTGGCTTCAGTAGCAAAAATACGAGTCATAAATTATCTAATGCTCAGCAACGGCACGAAGAAAGAAAGGATTAGGAATTTGATAAGGTAAAAATTCAAGTGTTGGTTTGCAGGGATTTGATTGGCTACAGGATTTAATCATGAGCTGACATCGATTAGAAAACAATTGGGAAATCACATGGGAGTACTGCCAGACAGATGTTTCCGTCGTCCTAGTTTGGGACTCCGCTTCAGTAGTACGCACTCACCGTGGTTCGAACCCACCACCTTCAGGGTTCAAAGGCGTGAAGCTAGCGACTCTACCCCGGAAAACCAATCGAGCATGTAACATAATCACTTTAAATAATAATAAGCTAGTGTAACTACCACATCATTATCAGACTTTGTACTGGAAGTTGAATCTGTGTTGAACGTTATAGGAATTTAGGAAACGCAATCGAGTTATAAAAGAAGAATGTTTAATGAAAATTACTTTCATAATGGGTGTATATTTGTTTGTTCACTTCATGCCCTGTTTAAGTTACTTTTAACACACTGATTGATGCAATCAGTTCAGTATGTACTTAAATTTGATGAGATTCTTTAGGTAAAGTCTTTTTATTATTGTTGATAAACATGTAGCGGTAGATGTTTTTGAGTTTGTTTTGTTGTAATACTGTAATCCAAAATCAATACACTGAGAATTATTAACTCACAATTATCATCTGATTTGCATGAATTAGCTTTAATTTGGAGGCAACTTTTTCGTTTACATTCTGTCGGTTAATCTTTATATAAAAATAACAGACACATCTACCCTTTTATCAAAACAAAGTTTACTAAGGAAGGCTTGGTGTGATGATGAATTGCTGCTTTGAGCTCTTAAAGGTGGTTTAAACTTCATAATTGCCAGCTAGAGCTTCCACAAACTTGAGGATACACCTTCCCCCAAACGCCTTTTATAGATGGGTTTGAAAGACGTGTGGGAACATGAATAACATCGTCCTGTCTCTATAACATGTTGCGCAATACAGGAGCTAGATCGTCGTCGTCTGTTCTCACCACTATTGGGTTCTAGGGATTCAATTTGTTTCTGAAGCCATTTGGAATATGTTCTAAAGCACTTACTGGCAGGAGTCGATGAGTCCTATCTGTGTATGCGCGGCGACATGCACACTCAAACTGGTAGATATAGTGGGCTGTTACACCATTCCTCACATGTTCCAAGAATTTACATGGATACATGAGCTTCACATTCTCAATTATTCTGAACTCAGCTGCAGAAGAAGTCTTTTAAACCGCAGTGTTCAAGCTGCTATGATCACTCATGTGTTGCAGAGTAACTTGATATATGCGTCTTTCCTAGTGGAGAGTTGCAGAGCGGGTTCGGTGTTCCGCTGACCACTGTATAATATCGTCTTATCAACTTATCTGAATAATTATTATTAACTAGAGTTCGTGTCAATCTTCTCTCTCTCTCTCTTCATCATCAAGTGTGTTTTCAGTGCATTTACGTAGATTACTACTGAAGAGGAGGAGTGAGGAGGCACCTCACTCACTAAGCCATTTTTGTAGTGAACACGGCAGAAACTGTGATAACTAAGATATTATCCTGTCCACAAAGGTTTTCTATCAATAGCTCCTTTGATTGATCCATTAGACTGTCCATTGACTGGTCAAATATATCTGGCATAGATAAACAATTATCTTTCTCTTCTAAAGACGTATGTGATATGCTATTCTGAACCTCATTTATTCGATTGAAAATTCAGGTGACAGAACAAGACTTGTCCCTTATGAATACAATGTCGTTGGCTTATCTTCCATGAAGCAGTACATTTTTGATTAAATCTTGTGATCAACTCTTAGTGTACAACATATAAATATATCTGCTAAGAGGGGCTGTAACGGACTTGCCATAGCAACATCATCTAGCTGACGGAAGCGTGTGTGTGTGTGTGTGTGTGTGTGTGAATCAAGTGTGAATCTAACATTACTAGTACATGAATAAATCCTTTGAATAAGATAAAGGGAATGGAATTAGAAAATCATATCAAGTGTTTTAACTAAAAGTATATTAGTGAATAAATAGTTCACATGACAAGAATGCATATTTTTATTATTTATAATAATAAATACTATCAGGGTAATTAATCACCCAGCCAGTCCACACCTCCCTATGTGAATGGCTTAAACTAACTTTTATGATAGATGTGATTGTCTGTTGAAGCCAGCCATATTTTGGTGTGACCACCATGATGTGCTAGCAAGCTAGCTAGGTAGCTCTTTTTCAACCTGATCCATCCACCCATCTATCCATCCTATGTCAGTCAAGCTAACATTAACTGTTGGTCAAAGAAGGCGATTTATGGCTAGGTAGGTAGACAGACAGGCATGCATACATGTGTAGCACATATCTTAACTATCTCACTCAATCAATATAACTTGACAACCTTGTCGATTGACTTTCCCTCCTCCACCTCCTTGCCTAGCACTTGACTGATGCCTCACCAATATTGAATATTATTCACCCTATTATACCAGTTGAGCTGACACAGGATGTAGATAGAACGCAGATAGCTATGATGAAGGACAGCTCCGAAGTCGATTAACAAAGACAGCTGCTTACAGATAATATGACCAAATTTCATTTTAATGACCATGAGCAATGATAGAATGCGATGTGACTGAAGAAAGGAATTCACTAGCACATCAATAAAATGCACCAATTATTCGAGTTTATTGAAGACAGAGATCCTAGAAACGCTATGATAAGTGGAAAAATCTCTGGGAGTAATAAATAATATACGCACACTTAGTAAGCCAGAAGTGTTTAATAACGGTAATGATGGATTATTGACTAGAATAACTAAAGTACTAGCTAGCAAGGAAATCGGCGATAAATTCGTCATACTGGTGTAGATAACTGACTGAATCAATTCACAAGTAAGGGGTCCAAGGATTGTGTCGTTTTTGTCCACCTGCACATCAACTCCGGCTCAAAAGTGATATCCAGTTATCGATCAAAGGACGTGTGCACTGAGCAGAAGCAGTTCGCTCCGTCCTTCTCTGTGGCATTGAGACATGGTAATTGAAAGTGGAAGAATAGAAGGGGCTAGCTGACTTTGACCACATGTGTTTGCGCTCTAACCTCCAAGTAACGTGGTATAATGTATGGTTATTAATATTGAACTTGGGCGTAGAGTGACAGGGGGTATGAAGGGAAATCGATCGGTGAGGTTATCAAGCTACATCAACTGAAGCGACTGGGACACATATTACGCATTCCGAACTACCGCCTTCCTCGACCAGGATTAGGTTAGAAAAGAGTTTGAGATGGTCAAATAAAGACTTGGCATGAATTCATGAAGTCTTTGGTTTTCAAGTGTTGGTTTGTAGGGATTTGATTGGTTACAGGATTTTCGTCATGAAATGACATTAGTTAGAGAACCATTGGAAAATTTGGGAGTACTGGAAATCTGTTTCGTCCTATTTTGGGGCTCTTCGGTAGTACGCACCCACCGAGATTCGAACCCAGGACCTTCTGGTTACAAGGCGAGCTCGTATACCATTAAGCTACTGGAACCCGATCCAATGGCCCATGAATTCTAACTTTGGTTTTCGCTTTGAACCACATATATGCTTGTGAATGAATGAATGTAGCAAATAAGCAGTTGCAAAGTGCTTATCTTGTCAGTGTATAAACGTACACGGTATCGCTGTATTTGGTAGAAAGCATTTATCTATGACATTTGAATACTGACGAATTGTGACAAATGATGACCGACAGCCAAAGGTTAACAGATGAAACCAGCGGAACCATCTGCCCTAATCTAAACCATTCGATGTAAGACCACTAGTTATAGAGGGCTGCGAAAGTAACTGACCGATTGATTTCAACATAGGACTACGTTGCACAGATGTGCACCAGTTCAAGTTGCCACTCTCCCCCATGTAGCCTACACAGCAAGAGAAAAGAGGAAAAGGACATTCAAAACACACAGAGAGAAGATAAACAGAAGTGTGCGTGAGAGGAACAGAATAGTAATATTATAATAATAATAATAATAATAATAATAATAATAATAATAATAATAATAATGTGAGCCTCTCATTGCAGTCTTATCATCTCCTCTTTAATACACACAACTATGTACTAGCTTGTCAATCACCTGACACATTTTGAAACCTTTATCTGACTTACTTGTCAATTTTCCTACCCCACACTCTACAAATCTAATATGACTAATCACCACCATTGTCAACCATTTCACAATATCTTCTAATCGATTTCAGCCTAGAAAGATGTTTCTCACACAAATACTACTATTTATTTTGCCACCCCATAACTAATCTGTTTTTCTACGTTAAAAAATATATCCGCCGAATAACTAACTGGACGACAACAAACACTATATGTATTTTATAATTTTAATAATAATAATAATAATAATTTGCTTTATTCCAA